CTCCTCTATGGTACTGGACAAGATGGCTTAGTAAGATCATCTCCATCTGGTCCAATTCTAACCTATTTAGTGGTCAGTACCACCACCACCACGCTGCCAATTTCCTGCTATGCCTTCACTGCTGCCCTTCACCCTTTTGCTTAGTGTTCTGGTGCTGCTTACTGTCTGCACAGCTGTTGGGTGCTCATGTCTGTTCAAGGAAGGAATTTTGGTCTGGAGTACCAGCCAGTAATTGGTTGCCTGTACCACCCCACCTCCCAATGTTTCCCTACTTTTGTGAAAGTGCTACTTTTGTTGGTACAACAGCCATTTTTGCTTTGGCCAGAGACTATGCCTTTGGGGGGAGATGGTTTGGGGCACCTCAAAATTACCCCAGTGAACCTCTTTAGGAGGTCCCAGTGGTTTGGGAACCCTGACTAAGCTAGTAGCTTGCATAGTTCTGCCATCCCTGGGAAAGATCCTCTCTTTATTTCTACCCTATCTTTTCAGATAAAGTTTGGTGCATTTGGCTTAGCTCACATGTAATGCTAAACTACAGTTCAGATCAGAGTGAATCTCATTGGCTCCTTTCATGGCAAGCTATAATTTACCATTTCATCCAAACAGAAAACCCGTGTCTGTTGGATGTAATGGTGCTTGCCTTGCGCTTTCCTTTCAAACCAAAATTGCAAACCATGTGTTCCCAATGTCATGATTTGAACCATTGTGTTTAATTTCCTATTTCTTACCTTTGTCTCCACATTCAGATTACTAGCCCCCCACCCCCACCCCCCCAAAAGACAGGCCTCCATGCTAGTCACTTGAGGTAAAGGACGAACTCTTCACTTTAAAATAATTCTGCCTTGATCCTCTGGAGGTCAGTGACCAAACAAGTGGTTGTTTTCAAGCTTGTGTTAATTGGATTTATCCACTCCTCATATCCCCACCTTATTAGATTCCTGGTCAAGTGACATGAGAAATTTCAAGAGGCCACTTCCAATATCAACACACACCAAGTAATAGTGATGATGCCTAATTAATGCATAGAAGTAAAAGCTGTTCTTTAATGTTCCACTATGCAGCATGAATTGGAAAACATTGAGCCAACTCAAGGACTATCCATAGAAGCTTCTGTAGCATTCCTCCAAAGATTAATTAGCCTTGTGGATGTGTTAATATTTGCAAGCTCCCTTGGATTTACAGAAATTGAGTCGGAGAAAAATATGTCATCTGGTGGAATTTTACGACAGTGTCTTCGGCTTGGTAAGCAGATAACTGCTAAGCATTAAAATACATTTTGCTGAGTAGGGTTTTTATGAGAACTCATTCTGAGTGCTACCTGAGGTAGACTCAGATTTAGTATGAAATAATATAAAACTTCCTAAGAATAATGAGATATTTTTTTAAGGCTAGAATTAGACTGAAGGGATAGCTCAGTCGGAAAGCATGAGACTCTTAAGCTCAGGATCATGGGTTCAAGTCCATGTTGGGCAAAAAGAAGGGACCATGAGTGTCATCTAGTCCACCCCCCTGCAATGCAGGAAACTTGCCCAACATGGGATTCGAATTCACAACCCTGAGATTAAAGTCATGCTCTACCAACTGAGCTATCCCCAGCATAAGTAAGATTGGTTGAACTTTCATTTGTTTGCCTTCAGATCATTTCCTGTGACTAAGGACAATTTACGTGGAAGTTAAGTCATCCTAAGAGTTTGCATGTATTTGAGGCTGATATCTTTAAGAATGGAGCAATCTAACAGCAACAACAAAAGAAATAAGGATGAATAAACTTTGATCCTAAACCTTTGTACTAATATACCTGGCTTAGATTAATTTTGCAACTAATAACCTGACTTTCATTGTGTAGCTGATATTGTAAAAAATGTCTAAATCTAGTTCTTGAGATACTGGCTTAGAGTAGAGACCTCTCATGCTAGCCTTACAGTATCATTATATAGTAATATATATTGGATGGACCCAGAGTTGCCCTTCTGTGAATGGAAGGATTCCTTCAATTTGTAAATGGGACTGAGCACCACCAGAGGCTCCTGTTGGAGGAAAAATGCAGGAACATTGTTTTTCCTGGTTTCCCCCATTTCTTCTGCTGTCTGCCATGCTGCTTGCTGCTCACAATGTTCCACAGTTTTTTCAGGAGGCTGCTGGGGGGGGGGATAATGGGATATTGCTTTTTGCTGCCCTCTAGCAAGATCTCTGTCTATGGCAGGCATGGCCAAACCTGGCCCTCCAGATGTTTTGGGACTACAATTCCCATCATCCCTGACCACTGGTCCTGTTAGCTAGGGATGATGGGAGTTGTAGTCCCAAAACATCTGGAGGCCAAGTTTGGCCATGCCTGGCCTATGGGGAAGTCTGGATCCAACCCAATGTAGGTGAATTTACAGCCTTGTGAAACTTTTCATCACCCCACAAGTAACAAAACAATGTCAGAATTTTTTAATGTAATATTTCTTAAACTTTGTTGGATTTTTGAATAGAAGCAAACAGAACTGTACTCATTATGAGCTGTAACTTCTCTCTTCCCCCCCTCAAAAAAGGGTTTGTTTATATATTAGTATTGGAAAAATTGAAACTTATCTTTCTGCAGCAGTAGGCATGCAGATTCAGCCGTGTTTATACTTTGGACTTGCTATGTATCCTTTCATTTCAGTGTGTGCTGTGGCAGTCAGAAATTGCCTGGAATGTCAGCAGCAACAGGCACTAATGAAGCCTAGCGGAGAAAATGTTAAGTGTCAGAAAACAGTACAAAGCCTGATAGCAGCAGGAAGGTCTGGAGCAAAGGCAAGTATCTTCTGACATTAAACGTAGGCAGATGTTGATACTGTTATCTCTGTGACCTGATGGATAAGTCTCTGGAGCTTTCTTATGGCACTGTAGTCATTACAGAGAAAAACAGGGCATTTGAATAACATGAGCATTTATTTTAAGTTGTATATACAAGTTGTTTAACTTACGAATGCAGTTGCTTGGGAGGGGGGATGTGAAGGGGGAGAGCAAAGAACAAAAGATCTGCCCTCAATGTTTCTAGATTCCTTGCCCAGTTTTCTTTCTTTGGTACAATCTTGAGTGTCTGTCATTGTACTTGATTTGTGTGTAACGCCAGTCCCTAGGGGCCCTTCCAGACCGATGGGATTTTTTTGTGGGCGTTTCTGCAACATGTCATTGATGCCGTAATGGTGCATTAGTGGTGGATTTATACTGGAACATCCACACATCATTCCACTTTATTAGGTGTCCTGCAATTCTTTCCCAGTGTTATTGCATTATTGCCATCTGGAGAGGCAGTCTTGCGCTATAGTACAAAACAACACCCCCCCCCAAAAAAACTGTGGTATAAAAAGTTACAGGATAACAGAAGGAAGTTGTGAGACATAAACAAATTAGAAACGAAGCAACATGTCCACCTTGAAACATTTGCAATCACAAACGATTGAAATCATGATTGTATGTGACCAGCCCAAGTACTGTCCTCGTTAGCACAAATAATCGTGATTGCACAACTAAAAAGGAAGTCTGGAGGGACCCTCGGTAATGGTGGTTTTGTAATGTTGTGGAAATGATAGCTTTGGGCCATCCTTTGTGCTTATCAAAACAAAATAATATACAAACTCTTTTATTCTAAACAGAGCCCAGTTGATATTGTGACTGGAGGGATTTCTCCAATAAGGGATATTGACAGACTCCTACAGGATATGGATATTAACCGACTGCGAGCAGTGGTATTCAGAGATATAGTGAGTTAGCAATTTTCTCCTACTTACTGTGTTCTTTTTTTACAGCCTGATTTTCTGAGCCAATGTCCTTATGCAGTTTCCTGTGGTGTTAAAATCTAATGGAGTGTCTAAGAGAATCATAAAACTCTGTGGGAATAGCAGACCAAGAATTTGGGGTCAGGATGAAAGGCTTAAGTTTTCCATAAACTGCTGTCCCTGCAGGTGGTTTCAACTTCATATATACTGTGTCCTTTCCCTTGTTCATGGAATGTGAATTTTCCAGTGTATTGCTCTTATTCTGGAGGATAGCATGTGTAATCTGTCCATACTCCATTCCCAATTCTAGATTGTTAAATTACTTGACTCAAAATTTGCTTCCAGGGTAAATGCTGGTTCTTGCTTGTAGCGCTACACCATTTTATATCGTTGGAGCATTTGGAAAAACGGGAGTGTGGATCAGCCTTCTGGTCAGATCCCAAAAATATGACCTGGAAGAAAGGGTGGAACAGTCTTGCTGAGGGAGGATGAACCTGTTTAACAGTCTCCCAGGTGGGAGACTGAACAACCTGGGGATATGATGGGCACTTAGTTATAGGAATAAATTATCATGAATTTAATTTTTTAAAGGGATTTCATGAAGGGCTGAGTTAGACTTGAATATCATAATAAAAGGCTCAGATGATGAGGGTTCATGGGTCATCCTGGATCATCAGTTAAGGGTTAAAACAATGTCACAAGGTTGTCTCTGTCAATCAAATCTTATTTTTAATAAGATGATCATAGCAAAGAAAAAAAGATTACTTGGTTTGATCACAACAGGATATGTTGTTGGGTGGAATCCATTCATTCCTGAGGACTGATTGATAGCTGCATCATATGTTGTCTATGTTAGATACTGCATTGAGTTCTGGGATTTGATTTTAAATATAACCAATTCCTGCATAACTGGCATGAACTGGGATCAGTTCTGGCTTCACCATAAGGTGAATGACACTTATTCCTCAGAGGAAAGCCAAATCACACATATTGTTCTGAGACATGTGCAGAGTTCTAGTTAAATAGAGTTTCTCAGTAACTGCATCTAACAATATTTTAAACATCTAGTTTGCTTTTTTCTATCTTTATTTCTTACAATATTTTTGATATGTTAGACCAGGGTTCCTCAACTTGATGACCTCTAGAACTTGCTGGACTACAGCATCCAGCCAGCAGGGCCAATGATCAGGGATGATAGGCATTGTAGTCCAACAACATTTGAAGGTACCATGTTGGGTAAACTCAGTGAGATAAGGATGTGAGGGCGATCTGGCTGCAACATCTGTCACCCCATTGATCGCCAGGGTTGATTCGGCTGATCTGGCTGGCTGGGCAGGTGTCCCCTTCCTCCCTCACCGCTCCATGTGCGTCCCTCCCGAAGCTGCGCGCTCGGTGGAAGAGGACGACCATCCCAGATAGAAGGAGTGTACCGTTCTTCAGTCAAGGGTATACGATAGCTGCGCTCCCCTGCTAGAACCTCCAAACAGTGAGATAATCTCCTTTATGAAGTAGGGTCTGGATTTATTGCAGAATGTGGCAGAAGAACTTAAGCACTCAACAGATGATCACAGTTTTGGTTGGTCCATTGAGTTGTTTTTAAAACTCAGTGCAAGCAGAAAGCTAGCACAATATGGGGAAGACTGGGGTAGAATTTTTCTCTTTTGTGTACTTGTTTCTTAATGCGAGAAATTCCATGTATGCAAAAGGGAGAGCTGAAGTAAACAGTCTATGCTACTAGCTCAGAATCCTTCTTCCTGAATACGCCTATGTAGATCAAGCTTTGAGTGCTAGTAATTAAGAGGTTTTACTGCTGTCAAATGATGATTATTTATACATAATCTACAATGACATTGTAACTGCTTCTAGTGCTTCACTTAAAGAAATAAGTTTGTAGCAGGTGATAGCATAATATTTGGAATAGAATGGAATTTGATAGGCTGTATTCATTTATTTTTACAGGAGGATAGCAAACAGGCACAATTCTTGGCTTTGGCAGTAGTATATTTCATCTCCGTCCTCATGGTATCAAAATATAGAGACATATTGGAACCTCAGGATGAACGTAGGCGGCCTCAGTCTGTTCAGTCACTCAAGCCTGCAACAACAGGTTAGTGACAATTCAGGCTTTTAAGACTACTGTAGATTCTATTCAAACTATATGTATATGTAAATATTCTGAAATGTGTACTTGTTCATAGGCTCTGTGAAAGTGGTTCTGATGAGAACATAAAGATCTAAAAGATGTACACCTTGTGGAGTGTGTGTGTGTGTGTTTGTTTTTTAAAAGTACAGAATCAAAACACTTACTAGATTTAATATACTGTTTTTGAAAATTGATGTGAGAAGTCTCCTCTAATTACTACTTTTAAATACAGAATTTGTTCCCAAGTATCCCTCAGGGCTAGTTAACTATTAGGCAGAATTTATTTTTTATAGATGCTTTTGTTTACTGCCCAGAACATTAATTTTTAATATTTTTGTTGGCGTTCCTTGTGATGATAATACTGTGTTAATGGTAAACTTCCAATAGGATTCTTCATCTTTAAAAATTCCTTTTATACATGACTTGGTTTAGCACATTTCCATTTTTGATGGGGAAAGTATGGCAGAATATTAACAAAATGCTTCCTTCCCCCAGTCATTTCGGTCATAATGGATCAGTGATGGAATGATAACAATATATTGACTGCTGAATTGATAAAAATACTTATATTCACATTTTGGCGCTTTGGGCCAAAATGGAGGACAGTTTGGTGTGGAGGTGCTTCCAAATGCAAATAACTAAAAGGCCATATCAGCATACTTACATATTTTACTGAATTGTGTTTTCTGCTGTGTTTTATTCTGTTATTTTGGCATGTCTGCCCACCTATACCCTTCCATCCCTGCGTGTGCCCAAGTGAGTGTGTGAATGCTCCTCTTAAGGGCTCCGACACACAACACATGCTGATACCTCCTGCTTCATTGGTGTGACTAGCACAACAGACGTCCCCTTGGTTTTGAGTAAATGTGGTTGGAATGAAAGTGTAAACCAGGGGTCAGCAAACTTTTTCAGCAGGGGGCCGGTCCACCGTCCCTCAGACCTTGTGGGGGGCCGGACTATATATTTTTTGGGGGGGAGGGGGAATGGACGAATTCCTATGCCCCACAAATAACCCAGAGATGCATTTTAAATAAAAGCACACATTCTACTCATGTAAAAACATGCTGATTCCTGGACCGTCCGTGGGCCGGATTGAGAAGGCGATTGGGCCGCATACGGCCCCTGGGCTTTAGGTTGCCTACCCCTGGTGTAAACTACTGTTTCTTTCTGTAGTATCTCCTTTTTTGAAACCTCTTTTCATTATAAACTGACGTTTGTTGAGAAACATATTGCTGGAATTATATATTTATTAATACTGTACTTTTAAATAGTAAAAGTTTCCGGGCTCCTTAATGTAAACTTCTGATGACAATTTCCTTCTGTGTATCTTTCAAGATGCAGAAAACCCATCTGCAGCTACTACCGCGGCTCCCCTACCTGCCGAGGAGTTGGAAAGTGTTGCGTCTGTGCAAAGAAGAGATTCAGGTATTGAGGAGGAAGCACATTCCGGATTAGACCACAGTTCTGAAGCTGCTACAGAAGCAGAAATACAAAGCGTCATTGCAGGCCCAGATGCAATCAGTGAAGCACTGTGTACGCTTTCTTCAGAAGTCAATAAATCTCAAGAAGGCAGAAGTGAAGTGCAGACTGAGATGGACACTAAAACTGCATCCTCTGTGCAAACGGCAAAAAATGTCAATGTGAAAGATATCCTAAGAAGTTTGGTCAGTGCTCCTGCAGATGGGGCCACAGTTGACCCGGCAGTTCTTCCACCAGCTTTTCTTGGAATCCTTGGGGATGGTGCTGCCGAACAGCCTGTTCAGTTTCGATCCTTTGACAGGTAAGAAATATTGCATTTTAAATCTATTTTACTTAAAACTGTGAACGACGTAAGGTTGTTTTTTTAAAAAATAATAATAATCTGGTGTTGTGATAGCAGCATAAACATTGTTTGGGACTGTTTGCTTCAGAGTCTCTGCAAATAATTTTACACAATTCTGTAGAAAAAATTATTTGACGTAACAATGCAGATAATTCTAAACTAAAACAATATGTCAGACATTTTCAGGGGATTGATTTCATTCTAGCATCCAATTTTACTTAACATTACACTTAAGTTAAAGGGACCCCTGACCATTAGGTCCAGTCGTGACCGACTCTATGGCCCCCAGCCTCCATTTAGTTCAAGATTGCATCATGGTATAGCCATCCCATACAGCGTAATCAGTTTTGTACCACATGCCTTATCCTGCAGCTGTCTGTGTCTCCCTTACATAATGTCCGGTCTTCAGTATTGATGATACTCACTTCTTTATATTCATATCCCTTTGCCAAATCATCTCTTGATCTAGCTGTGCCAGGAAGTGCTCAGTTTAATGTAGCAAAGACTGAATGAAGTCAGTGACTGTAGACTCAAAAATACGTTTATGAATGATCTCGTGCTCTTATTTTTTCCATTCTATGGTCACAAGTTACAACCTTTTAAGATTTATTTTAATACACTATGCACTTGTTAAGTGTAACATGGATCTTCTTAAGATCCTGAATCCAAAACATTTTATAGATTAGAGAAGGTAATCAAGACATTTGTGGGTACAGAATACCTATTTAAAAATGTGAACAGCTAAAAAAACCTGCAGCTATCAGTTTTAAAGTCATCCAGTCTTGATGCTGTAAATTTGGTGGGAAAACATGTTTTCTTTCAGATGACATCTAAGGGTCTGTTGCAGTTCTGGGGTGAGGGTGGATAGAATAGGTTATGACCTTGTATTCAGGAAACTGGAGCTACATTCAAAAAGAGGTTTTCATCTCCAGGGACACACCAATATACTAACATTACAGTGGGAAACTTTGGACAAGCAGACTTCAGGATGCTCTGTATAACTTAGTGTGTCTGGTTTATATTTAATGTATTGTCTGGTGCAGAACACAAAGCCCAGTGAGTTCATGTTTTTCATTTTTTTTCTGTGGGGGGTGGAGAGGTGGGTGAGTTGGAAAAGACACCTTGTTAAAAGTTTTTCCCCCCATGTAGCAGTTTTACGGCAAAGCATCTCTGGGACTTTCAAAGCATCTCTCTGATCCTGCATTTATCTCAGGAATGTTGTGTCAGAAATCAAAACTCTCCTCATATCTTAAGGATTATCAACTTTCCAGGCATAGCTGGAGAGTATACAGTAACAGCTATGTGAGTGAAACCTTGCTGAAAGAGTGCCAGGTTGTGGGTTTTTGCAAACAACAAGGTGTGTGCGCTCATTCCCATGCCAAAAATTACTCTTTTATCTTATGTGAAGATCCAGTCTGGTGATTAGTGGGTGACAGGGATTTATCTTGATAAAAGTTCAAGGCCTGGTCTGGCTCTCTCATTAAGCCAGTAGAGACGCTGAATTAGCAGTCTATTTGCAGTGTTTTGTCCTCTGTAACCTTTCAGGAACAAAACTACTTTTTCGTTGTTGTTGTTGTTGTTATTACTGTAAAGACATTGGTAGTTAGTTTAATAGTCCTGATGAATAATATGATTCTGTTTAATTGTGACTAAATCCCATATTTTATAAGGTCAGTCCTGTTTATGGTTTTTGTTTTGTTTTTAGGAAGTAAAGATGAGAGAAAGCTGCAACGTTGACTGCTCTGTGCAGTGAAAACTAGTTCGAAAAGCACACATGCTCTCCAATTTTATAGGTTTAATTTTTTAACTTAATAAATAAATATATATGGTGAAGGCTTAGAGGCTCCTCCCTCAAAGGCATGAGACCATTAGTCTCTGTCAAATGCTAGAAACTAACTGAACTATGACATTGTTCTTTTATTCCTTTGTCATGTCAGATTAGGAGTGGCGAATTGACAAAATGCACAAGGGTGACTTTAACCACCATCCTTCACCCTTTACATGTTGCATGTGGCTTATTAACAATTTTAACAAGTTTCAAATGTGTGCTGCCTTGTTTCTTCATTAAGCTTACTCCTACAGAGGTGCAGTCAAAGATTCGGCTGACTGTTTTTGAACTAGTAGAGCAAAACAAGCCCCTATTACCTCTCCACACCTATTCCCCCCCCCCAAACTCTAAAGAGCTGCACTAATTTTCAGTGCTCTGTGACTGACCTTTCACCTTCATACAGGCCAGGCTCCTTCCAACCAGTACAGTCCAGGAAGACTCCCAAGTGTATGTTGCTGGTTTTTCTGCAGAGGGTTTTGGCATATACTTGTATTTGCTGAGTGTTGTGGCGGGTTTTGTGGACAAGGGACAGGTGCAGAAAGTTGTAACATCTGCAAGCGCTGTTCAGAGGGAATGAAAAGGTCAAAGTCAGGGGCCCTTTAAATGTTACCCCATGCTGATCCAGTTCCTGACCATACAGATATCCTCCTGCCACTGTACAGTTTAGTCTCTGGGTTTTACTTTGCACCCTCAGGGCTGCTTCAGATTTCCTGCATGTGGTTCACGAGGTTGCATCCGACCTTTGGGATACTGGAGGCTCACACTGAAGTTTTCTCTCTTTTTATAATTCATTAGTTGG